TTGAGCCCCTAAAAGACGTTCAGATTTGGCAACGTTTTTTTTTTCTGTACCCTTTCCAGATGATAGTCTTACAGTCTTTACACAAATACCAACCACGACTGCACATTGTTGAAGTTACAGAGGATGGCGTGGAGGACTTGAATGAGCCCTCCAAGACCCAGACCTTTACCTTCTCAGAAACCCAGTTCATTGCAGTGACTGCCTACCAAAACACTGATGTGAGTCTTCCAAACATCCCAAGAATCTGTAAAGCAAAGGTCCAGCCTGATAAAGCACTCAGTGACTGTTTCTCTCCCCTATCTAGATTACTCAACTAAAGATCGATCATAACCCCTTTGCAAAAGGCTTCAGGGACAACTATGATTCGTAAGTGCAGCTTTTATTCACACTTGCATGGTTATCTTTGAACAGGACATACATGAGACGCTTTGCTGAGAATATATTCTGGGAAGAACTTTCATGTTTGGGACTTTACCTGTTTTTATTTTTGCATATTTTTTTGCCCTTACTAATCTTGCTTTAGAATTTTCACAAAAGAGATTTGCTAATTTCTAAAGAAATGTTAAGGGCCTAAAAATGAGGAGATTTTTTTTTTTAACATTTGTGTGGAGACTTGAAATTTTAAGAATCTGCATTTATATACCTTCCTTTCCATTTGATCCAACTTTTTTATCCTCTCAAGAGCAGATATTATTACTCTTCTCTCCTTTTTTTTACATAAGAAAAACCTGAAGCTAAGAGGATGTAATTTCACTACATGAAACAGCAGGCCCTGCTGTTTTTAAAATCTGGGTTTTCTAACATCACAGCCAGTGTTCTTTCTATCACATTGACAAGGGAGGTTTGCTCTGAGTTTTTCATGTTGCAGGACCTGTAAAGGTGCATTTTCTGTGGTGTAAATACTTAATGCCTTGGAGAAAACTTTTTCTTACATGGTGGGAGATTTTTCTTGATAAGCCAAGCATCTAGCTAAAATGGGCCAGTGCATCTCCTACCTCTGTTCCTCCAGTCCAACAGACCAGTGCTCTTGGTACAGAAAACTGACACCACAGGCCTTTTTGATTTCTGGGAGGCGGTTTGTTTGGGGACAACATTAGGGTTTTTTTTTTTTAAGTGTTTCTCTTTATATTGTAGCATGTACACCGCTTCAGAAAATGACAGGTTAACTCCATCTCCCACGGATTCTCCTAGATCCCATCAGATTGTCCCTGGAGGTCGGTACGGCGTTCAGTCCTTCTTCCCGGAGCCCTTTGTCAACACTTTACCTCAAGCCCGATATTATAATGGCGAGAGAACCGTGCCACAGACCAACGGCCTCCTCTCACCCCAACAGAGCGAAGAGGTGGCCAACCCTCCCCAGCGGTGGCTTGTCACGCCTGTCCAGCAGCCTGGGACCAACAAACTAGACATCGGTTCCTATGAATCTGAATATACTTCCAGCACCTTGCTCCCATATGGTATTAAATCCTTACCCCTGCAGACATCCCATGCCCTGGGGTATTACCCTGACCCAACCTTTCCTGCAATGGCAGGATGGGGAGGTCGAGGTTCTTATCAGAGAAAGATGGCAACTGGACTACCATGGACCTCCAGAACGAGCCCCCCTGTGTTCTCTGAAGATCAGCTCTCCAAGGAGAAAGTCAAAGAGGAAATTGGCTCTTCTTGGATAGAGACACCCCCTTCCATCAAGTCACTAGATTCCAATGATTCAGGGGTCTACACCAGTGCTTGTAAGCGAAGGCGGCTGTCTCCTAGCACCTCCAGTAATGAGAATTCTCCCTCCATAAAGTGTGAGGACATTAATGCTGAAGAGTACAGTAAAGACACCTCAAAAGGCATGGGAGGGTATTATGCTTTTTACACAACTCCCTAAAGAGTATTTTAACCTCATAAGAATTAGCTAACTTTTTGCAGATGGACCTGGTGGTGTTTTTTGTTGTCTTCTTTGCCTAGGTTGCCAAAAAGATGTTTGCCTTCCACCTTGATGCGTCCTGTTTTGTGCAATTCTCTTAAAGAAGGTGCCAAAGCTTTTTGATTGCTGCAGGTAACTGAAACAAACCTAGCATTTTTTTTTTTTTTTTTACTTTTTAAAATAAAATCAATGGAGGACTTTAAAGTGTTTTAAAATTTGAAGGTTATTCAAGGTTCTGGATTTATTTATTGGAAACACTAAACATTCAGAGAAACAGGCTGTAAACATTGAATAATACCCAGTGCTATCAAATGAGTTAAAACCTTTGATTCTCATTTCTAGTCGTAAATCTTTAAGCAAATAGAAACCGAGCGTTAAGGTGCTTTTGCTTCTGGAAGAGAAGGGCTGGGCCTTAAGCTTCAACAGGGGACATTATGCTGTTACATTCTACCAGGCGCAAAAGATATCAGGCCTGGGAATCAAAAAAAAAAAAAATTCTGTGAAAGTGCTGGTTTTACCTGACTTTGATTCCTCGCAGGCTTTTGGAACAAGCCATGTTTGCCCGAGTCCAGGATTGCCTCACTTGAGACTTCTAGGCCTCTGCTATGTGTTGGGGTGGCCAGTAGAACTCAGGAGAGAGCAAGGGAGGGAGTCGCCAAAAAAAGAAAAAAAAAAGAGAGAGAGAGAGAATTTAAAAGTGTACAGTCGTGTGTGTTTAGATACACTGTAGAATAATGTGGAATATATTGTACAAATAGTCTACCTAAGTGTCTGAGATAATGTAAAATCGGTGCTTTGGCTTTGTAAAGAATTTGCAAATCATCTAACAACAGCTGCAGGGGCAGGGGGATGGTCTCCTCATCCCCATGATGTTTGGGAATATTCTGTTTACTTCTTAGATAGTTAAGAATGTATTCAGCTACTCTGTACTAACTTGAACTGTGTTTAAGGAAACCTATTTCATCCTCCTCCTTCGCCATCCCCTCTCCCCAACTTGGTAATGTGAAGAAACTAAAACCTAATGCCACAGCTCCTATAGGCTTTTTAGAGATCTTGGATTTTTATGTACAGTCTTAGTCATTTTTAATAAATGTGGTTAATTAAGGGAATGGGCATAGCTCTCTTCTGTACTGTGGGTTTTAATCTTTGTTTTAAAGATCTCATTTTGCCTCCTCTTCCATCCTTTTCCAGCTTGACCAGCGCCTCACTAATTACCACCCCTCCTCCCCATGGAAGGCTCCAGAATCTCTAACTGGATACAGTAGTCAGTAGGGGGTGGCAGTGGGGATGCTTTTGTTTATCTTCTTTTTTCCTTGAAATGGAATAGGCCTATTTCCTCACCCCACCGGGAAGTCTAGACAATGGGGGGAGGGTCGGGGGAGACGGTGCTGCCGCTGAGATGCAAGATTGCCCACATCAGACTTAATCCAAGCCTTGAAAACCTCGCTCCTGGCCCGTGGAGACCCGGCTCTGCCACGGCCCTCAGCCACTTAGTTCTCTAGGTTTACCTGGGGCCACCCATCCTTGGGCCTACGTAGGCTCCCCGGGAACCCCCGTGGCCCTTTGAGCGCCCACGAGTTCCAGGTCCCCGAGGCGCCGCGGGGCGCGGGGGCTGCCAACAGCTCGGCTTCAGCTCCCACCTGCGGCTTTCTTCTGAACCCAGACACCGGTGCAACCGCCCGCCGCGGGCCGCGCGCCTCGGTAGCTGCTGGGCGGCATCGTTTGCGCACAGCCGAACTTGGCTCGGGACGCTGGCGCTGCCGCGGGGGCTGGTGGCGGGCGCGGCAGGCACAAAGGAGGATCCCAGTAGCCCCGCGATCCGAGGCTCTTCAAACAGCGGCTGGGGGACGTTCACGTCGCGCATAGTTCCATTTATTTGGCTCCTATTTCCTGGGAGGACGAAGGACATCCACCCCCCTGATAGAACCCTAGGCTGGCCGAAGAGTTAAGCCAACAAGTGATGCGGAGGGCCCTTTGTCCCCCACCTCCACGCCCCGGTGGCCCGCCAGGCTTTATCAGCAGACGGCTTTAGGCCCAGCTTGCAAACCTTTCCAGCCCCCTCCTGACCCTCCCGGGGTAAAGGTCTGGTTGGGAGGGTCATTCTGCTAACTGCGTGGCGCGGAAATGCAGCTGCTAAGAGGATTAGCTGCTGGGAGGCGAGCAATCAGCCGGGACCTCCTCCCCTTCTGCGCCCAATTAAGGCCGCCAGGAGCTTGTACTTCGACTGTCGGGTCTCCCATCCCTTCCATCCTTCTGGGGCCGGAGTGTTTCCCCGAGCTGCCCGTGACCTTGGGGGCTCCAACTGCAGCTCCGCGTTTCTGATGGTGGCTGCTCAAAACGTTTTGGCAAAGCTCTCCGAATCTCACCGGGAAGCTGCGGGCGAACGCTTGGAAGCTTTGCTTTTTGTTATTTATTGTGGGTGACAGATTTGAACTGGGGAAGGGGGACTGATAGCCCGCTGATCTTGGTCAGCGCCTGCCCCTTACCCCCTTCCGTCCGCGTCCAACCATCGCGCACTGGGAGATGAGATGGAGTTTCGAAACGATGCTCTATTTCCGCCCTCTAGAAAGCCCGAAAATGCTAATCACTGCCGGGATGAAGCTGACTCTGGCCCTAGTCTATTTCGAGTCCTGTATATTTTTGCACCGTACAGTAAAAAGAACCTGGTACTTGTGAAAAGTCCCTCACAGTGTTTAATAGAAACGTAAGTGGCTGAGTGGCCCCAATTAACACCTTGTGATAAGGCATTCCTAAGATGGAGTGTCAGACACCAAATTGTGAAGAGATGTATCTAATTAATCCTCCTAGGATGACACCGATAAACAAGCCTCTATTTAAATAAAGATCAAGGGTTCGGCGCCCCGTTTGTTTACATTCTCCTCCAGGGCCCGGCGTTTGCTCGGGCGCGGGCGGTGGCGTTCCCTGAGCTGGGTGGAGACACACCGGCTTGGGGGTCTCCTGAGTAGCCCTGTGTCACTTCTCCTCCATTCTTGCCCCCGACAGAAAACATAATAAAACAAACTGCAACGAAAGAGGAAAAAGCAGTGCAGAGAGGACCCGACTCGGAGTTGGAAATACTGTTATTTGCCATTTTCCACGCGAGCCCTTTTACATCGCCACTCTTTGGTGGTTCAGTGGGGTGTAGGGGTGGGGGAGGAGCGGGGACAAGAGGGAAAAATAGCAGCCCACACGTAGCCCCTGGAATTCTTTTCTGCTCTGGGGAGAATTGGGAGCAGGACCTTCCTCCGACCCCCACCCCGCCCCAGCGCGAGTTTGAGTTCGTTCCCCGTGGTTCCAAGATTCCGGGATTCCTGGCGCAGAAGCGGAGAATTGCTGAAAGGTAGGGTAGCCGCCCTGAGGGCGGGGTGAGGAGCCGCCGGCGTCGGGAAGGAAAGCTGGGAAAGGCAGGAAGAGTCAGAAGAGAACTTGGGGACGTGGGGAAGGGACAGACCGGCGCGCCATATTTTCAGCCTGTGTTGGAGCCCGGGTTTAAGCCTGTTTAAAGTCTGCAGCAACACGCATCTCCCAATCGTGCAACGAAGTTTCAAGGCTCCAAACCTGCCTTGGGTCCCAGTTTCCCTCCTTCCAGCACCAATTAATTAGCTTTCAACTGGGTAAAGGCAGACTCACGATCTTCCCTCTCTTCTGCGGTCTCTTCCTTATTTCTGAATCAAACGTGGGGAGGGGGAGGAAGGCAAGTTTTAAAAATCTCTGCGGGCGTCATGGAAACGCTCTAGAATAGAAACATTCCCGCATGCCCCTGGATTTTCATCGACATTTAACCGCCGGCAGGGACAAACATTAAAATCATCCCTTTCCCACTCGCCTGGACGCTGCGTCCCTCCCCTTACCTGCCCGCGCGGCGCTGTCCCCTACCCTGCTGTAAGCCCGCTCCAAAAGTTTAGCTTTCACTCCGGGGAGATTTCCAAATCACCGGGAGGCTCTTTGGAAAAGGAAATTTGGAAAAATCTGTTGGTGAACCCGGTTGAGTCCCGTTCAGTGAAAAAAATACCCATCACCACACCCCTCATCCGTCAAGTTTAGGCTTTGGAACATGCGAGCTCCGCCGGTCCAGCCCTGGAGGACTCCAGCCCGAGGAACCCACCTGCCCGAGTCCGGGGTCAGATTCCCTCCCGCCGCTCGTGGACGCCCAGGCCCAGCGCACACGCGTGGGGTTCGCAGGGTTTCCCGCGCGCTCGACCCCGACTTGCGCTGGCGACCCGAGCGGTTCGTGGGCAGTCTTAAGATACAAACACTTTTTTTTTTCTTTCTTTGCTTTTTTTTTTTTAAGACGATGGGGACTCCGACCTTGGTGGCACCGAATTTCTCCTTATTACGACTAAAAGAAAACTTAACTTCTGGCGATACGCACGCGCGCGCGCGCGCACACACACACACCCTTATTCGGCCCCAGGAGTCCTTTCCGCGTCCCCGAGGACGCGCGTCGAGCTCACCAAGGGAAGGGTTTAGCCTCGCCAGACGCTGGACAGCAGGCGTCCAGCAATTGTCCGCAAAGTGCCCGGCGTCTGATGGATCTCGACCCCTGCCGAAGCGTGGGTCAGTGCTTATTCCAGGCAGCACTCCCCACTTTACTTTTCCCCTTACTCCTTAAAAAGCCCCAAACTTCCTTCTGTAAATCCTTGTGCAACAGGGCTCGCACAGTAACTTCTATAACTTCATGCTCGACCCAGCCTTCCCCACGCGGTTGGCGAGGAAGAGAAGCCCCGCGCCTCGACCTTGGCCTCTGCGTCCAGCGGCTGAGTGGCGGCCAAGGGCAGCCGGCGCGGTTCTTCTCCGGGCTGCGGGCAGCCTTCGCCATCTGGTGGTCACCAGGAGTAAGGACCGCCCCAGCTGAACAGGCCTGCTTCCCACTCTTCTTAACTGAAGTCGATGCTTCGTCAGGTCCTGAACCATTCTGTTAAAAAAAGCCTTGTCTTCATCCCACTGCTCTGTTTCTTTAAAAAGCTTCGTAAGGTGGGGGAAGGAGGCTGGAATTTAGTGTTCTTTTTTGTTTTTGTAGACAAGAGTCTCCCTCTGTTGCCAGGCTAGAGTGCTGTGCCGTCAAGCCTAACTCACAGCAACCTCAAACTCCTGGACTTAAGTGTCCTCCTGCCTCAGCCTCCTGAGTAGCTGGGACTCCAGGCATGCGCCACCAGGCCCTGCTAGGAATTTAGTGTTCTAAGACTTAAGCTCTAGTCCTCGGCCGCTGCTTACTAGCTGCACTGTCCTCAGCTTCGCTGAGCTTCATTTCTTGGTCTGAGACGTGGGGATTTTTATTTATTTTAATTTCAGAATGTTACAGGGGTACAAATGTTTTGGTTACATGAATTGCTTTTGTATAGTTTGAGTCAAAGTTATAAGTGTGTCCATCGCCCATATAGTATGCATTGTACCTGTTAGGTGTGAATTTACCCATCTCTTCCTCCCCTCTCCCACCTGCAGAAGTGGGGATTCTAACATCACCTACCTGGGCAAGTAAAAACGAGATTTTAAACCTAACTGCTTTGTAAACTGTTGAGTAGCCCCAACTACTATTAGGTACTATATTAGTTACTAATTTTATAACATGATAGTGAACTTAGATGATTAGCAAAGGAAATATTTTTTTATTGACTAAAAAATAATTATGGAAAATTTCAAACATACACAAAAATAGAGAGTAATGGACCAGTTACAATAACCATCAATTGTTTCCTCCTAGGATTCCCACCCCACTCTCCACCACAAGTCCCGGAAATTCTGTCACCTAATCCACAATTATTTTTATATGTAGCCCTGAAAGAAAAGGATTCTTTTAAAACAGATGCAACTGTCATGCTGTTATCACACCTACAGAATCAACAATAATTTCTTAATATCATGACATATCCAGGTAGGTATTTCTGATTGTCACATAAAGTTGTTGTTATTCTTTTTGTTTGTTTCTTATAGTGGTTTGTCTTCATCGGGATACAAATGAGTCCCACACATGTGGTTGAGGTATCATTTAATTCTCTTAATCTAAAAGTCTTCCTTTCCAACTTCCTTCTTATTTTTCCTTGCAATTTATTGAAGATATTGGGGCATTGGTTCTATCTAGTTTTCCAGGTTCTGGATTTTACTGATTCCATTCCTGTGGTGTTAATATGATCCTCCCAACTCTTATATTTCCAGCCAAGTATTTTGATATGACATCTTGATCTTGTTCAGGTCCTATCATTTTAGTAATAATATTTTATAAGTGGTAATATTCCATCAGGAGGCTTATAATGTTCAGTTGGTCTATCTTTGGGACATGTTATTATCCATTGATGATTGTAAACTAGATCCATTATTTCATTAAGGTATTGACAAAGGAGGTAAATTTTAGTGCAGCTATTATTATCAATTACATATGAATGAGAAACTATTACTTAATGATACTTTGAATGTGACATTAAACAGAATGAACCAAAAAGCCAAGTTCTCAGCTCTTTATATATCATCACAGGAAAATAGCTATGGCCCTTTGGGAAACATGGGACATAGAAAACTGAGTGATAAAATGTACAAAGTGCATAAATTGATAAGATTTAGCAGATGAAACACGTTTATTGAAACATCTGATATACACATAATTGCTAAGAAATCACATTAAACCAATACATAACAAAGTGATAAAGTATGTTTCTACTTGCTTTTCTACTCCCAGAGCAAGTTATCAATCTCCTAATCCTTTCAAAAAAATATTTCAAGAACTCATAAAGAGAAGTATCACATGGAAATCATAAGTGATAAGAAGGACTATCACAGGGGTCCTCAATCTTTTTAAACAGGGGGCCAGTTCACTGTCTCTCAGACTGTTGGACGGCTGGACTATAGTTTAAAAAAAAAACTATGAACAAATTTCTATGCAAACTGCACGTATCTTATTTTGAAGTAAAAAAACAAATGGGCAAAAACACCCACATGTGGCCCGTGGGCCATAGTTTGAGGATGCCTTGACTATCAAGTAACTTGATGGCTGTTATAAGGGAAGGAGTGATTTCATCTGTGACAAGTAAAGAGAAGTGGTTTCTTACCACGTAGCTTGGAGTAGGGGCAATGTTTGAGTAGAGAATTGGAGGGAGGAAAGAGGTAGGGGAAAGTCCAAGTTACTATCCATAGTTCACAGCCCAGAATTTCTGGAACTGGGTTGGAATTGGTGACTGAGAGAAACTATCTCAGTAATTCTAAGAATAACAGGGGTAGATTTTAGCATATAGATGCCATTGTTACCATACTGTTCTCTTTCCCATCCCAGACACCAAACTGTAGCCTATTCCATAGGCCTTCAGGCAGTTAGAATGTTTTCTGCAGTGGTCTTGGATTGCCACCATTTCTTCTTGAAATGTCCCAATATTAATGCCATATGCACACAGCCTTCTGATGAATGGGACTTCTAAGTCCCAAAACCAATTCCTTGAGTCACTGAATTGGAGAGCTGGGAGGCACCATAGAGTCTATTCTAGCTCTTTCCATCCCATTGTAGAGAGGTGGGAACCAAGTATCACAGTGGTTACATGGTTTGCAAGTCCTTTGAGGAACCTGTTGGTTCTGCAGTGTACCATAGATTGGACCCCATAAAATATTCAGAGGCCTGGAAAATAGTCATGAAAAAATTAAATTCTAAAGCATAGTTTTATTATTGATTATGTTGTTTTCAGAGGATGAACAGTATTTAAAATCTAAATAGATCAATGATTAAATTTTCTTCTTTATTTTTTTCTGAAAAGATAAGCCTATAATGGAGTGATGTGTGCTTCATCTTGTACTTTGACCTATACTCAGCTCTAGCATAGTAAATCCACAGAATATATGTCCTCCACCCTACAGTGCACTGATTTTATTAATCTTGGCAGGCAATTTTTTATTTATCTTACAGATCTAAAATCCAAGAACATTAGTTGGCATTTATTTTTTCATGATTCTAGTTTCTCATCTAAAAATGATTATTGATCTAATTAACCAAATAGTCTGTGCTCACCACTGAATACTTACTTATAAAGCTACAGATACAGACTACATAGCTGTTGTAGGAGAACACAGAACAGCATGGGTTGTGTTGATATAAAAAAATATGTACATATGGCCAGGCATGGTGGCTCACACCTATAATCCTAGCACTTGGGAGGCCAAGGCAGGAGGATTTCTTGAGGCCAGGAGTTCAAGATCAGCCTGAGCAAGAGCAAGATCCCATCTCTACAAAAAAATAGAAAAAATTAGCTGAGAGTAGTGGTGTGTTCCTGTAGTCCCAGCGACTTGGCAGGGTGAGGCAGGAGAATTGCTTGAGCCCAGGAGTTGGAGGTTGCAGTGAGCTATGATGACATCCCTGCACTCTAGCCCAGGCAACAGAGTGAGACTCTGTCTCAAAACAATAAAAAAATACGTGTATATATATGAGCTTGTATGTGGGAGTGTGTTTTTGTGCTTCAGAGTTGCATATCATTAAGCTAAAATCATAGAATTTAGAATATGATTAGAATAAGATTATAGGTGGTATCTAATATTTCCTTTAGGGATGCTTCTGCTCAGAACTGTCAAAACAGATTGTGTAAATAGACTATACTGTGGGAAGTGATCCTAATGATATAGATGAAACACTTATCTAGAAGACAGAATGTAAAGAGGAGACAGTTTCTAGGAATGCAATTAAATTTAATCTGGAGGTGCCTGCCTCAAAATAACTCCCTTCCGTTCCTCTTTCCCTTTCAGCAAAAAGAACCTCACTGGGAAAAGACAAGGCAAGTATTTCCAAGTCCTGCAATGTCCTATTTACTGTTGAAGTTTAGGAAAAAAATGTATGTCACATTTGATTGATTCCTCTATGTTTCCTAGCTCCCTTGCAGGATCACTAGATTCCAAAGAGAGAACAATAGGGGCAAGATCATTTGCCAAAACTGCAGCCTTAGGAAGGATTTGGCCAACCTGTAGTAAATCAGCAAGAAGGAGACCAGACTTTCCTCCCACCTTCTAATCCCCTGACAGTGCCCTTCTTTGGCTGAACCCAGTGGGAATCCAGAGGGCTAGGCAATCTATTGATGCAGCCCCCTGGGAACAGAGCAGGGTAGAGAAGAATGAAGAGTGGAATTGGGAGCAGTGAAGAAGAAATCCAGCCTAGCTGGCACCTTCCAATGCCTCTAAAGTTAGCTTCCTAAATACCCTGCGGTTGTTTTGAGGTATCCCCAAAGAGGCTGTTTCAAGAATGG